TAGATAGATAGATAGATAGATAGATAGATAGATAGATAGATAGATAGATAGATAGATAGATAGATAGATAGATAGATAGATAGATAGATAGATAGATAGATAGATAGATAGATAGATAGATAGATAGATAGATAGATAGATAGATAGATAGATAGATAGATAGATAGATAGATAGATAGATAGATAGATAGATAGATAGATAGATAGATAGATAGATAGATAGATAGATAGATAGATAGATAGATAGATAGATAGATAGATAGATAGATAGATAGATAGATAGATAGATAGATAGATAGATAGATAGATAGATAGATAGATAGATAGATAGATAGATAGATAAATAGATAGATAGATAGATAGATAGATAGATAGATAGATAGATAGATAGATAGATAGATAGATAGATAGATAGATAGATAGATAGATAGAAGAGTTTATTAAAGATAAGTAGATTGGTTAGTTGGTTATCGTGGCAGTTCACTTTGTACAAACATTCACAGTCTTAATTAAATATCAATATCAAAGATTTAGACCTAATCATTAGATAATAATTAGCAAATTTTTCAACTCTTTGGATACTCTCCTAAGCTTGATCGTCTTTTTGTTAGTGACACAATTAATAAAAAGTATGACTTATACTGAACTTTTAGAAATTCTCGATTTGCGGCAGCGAAAAAAAATCAACAAAACAAAAACCCTATTCCTCATTACCATTAAGATACTATTATTAAACAAAGTACATACATCCTCAAAAAAGGGTTAATGAACAAAATAACGATTAATTTATAAAATAAAACTGAAAATGCATTAAAAAAAGGGGTTTTTGACATGTTTTACGACTTCAGAAAAAATCTAAAACAAGAAAATAAATACAGAAAAAATTATATTTAAATAAGATTTTTTTATTTGATTCAATACAAAATTCAATGAACTTTTGGGACTAACAAAGAATATCAATTGGGCGAGTTCATTTTATTATTTTTTTGTTTCTGCTGATTAAAATATTTGGGACGGGTAAAGTGGTTAAACAAAAAAATATACAAATTGTAAAACAACTAAAAAACAATGAAAAAATACAGGCGTCAATGGTGGTAATAAATAAATATCAAAAAACAAAAACAAAATAAAGAAAAAATATTAATACAAAAGGCTAATTCACATCATAACTCAAACTGAAAATAAGATTTTTTTTCAGCAAAAAACTTAAATTGTTCAACAAAAATTCACAAGATTATAAATTGTTTATAACATGCAAGTGTATTGTTGTTATTGTTACAATGCAACAAAATATTTTCAGTTCCATACCAAAAGACCAATAACAAGAAAAATACCGAAAAGACGTCAAGAAATAGCAACAAAAAAAATGACATTATTTCTTACAACATCAGAGACATACATACTTACAAACATACTTTTGTACATATCTACTGACATGTGTAAAGTTTTAAGTGCACTTAGAAAACAACTACAAAATAAGAAAGAGAATTAAAAAAAAAAAACATTTATTATAAATTTTTAATATTTGTTGATTACGAGTACATCCACATATTTCGTTAACTGTAAATATAAAGCAAAACAAAATCTTTAATAAACAAAAGAAAATAAAAAGGAAATTATTACGCACTTTCCGTCAATTATTGAATTTTTCATTCAAACTAAAGAAATCTCTTTATTAAACGTTTGCTGGTCTTTTCTCCTCACTGCGCCGCTAACTTTTTACTTTTTCTCTCTGTTATTATAACTCTCTTTGGTTTACTTTCTTTCACATTTTAATAGTGATATTTTGAAAATCTCTTTGTTGGATAAATGTAGGTATAAACAAATGGTTAGTTTTTTTATACCCACCATCCAAAAAAGTGTATACTGAATTGGTCATTCCATTTGTAACAGATCAATAATGTACCTACATAAGTATAAATATTCTATATTTATATAGTCTAGCCTATAGTCTTGTCTATAGTCTAGTCTATAGTCTAGTCTATAGTCTAGTCTATAGTCTAGTCTATAGTCTAGTCTATAGTCTAGTCTATAGTCTAGTCTATAGTCTAGTCTATAGTCTAGTCTATAGTCTAGTCTATAGTCTAGTCTATAGTCTAGTCTATAGTTAGTCTATAGTCTAGTCTATAGTCTAGTCTATAGTCTAGTCTATAGTCTAGTCTATAGTCTAGTCTATAGTCTAGTCTATAGTCTAGTCTAGTCTAGTCTAGTCTAGTCTATAGTCTAGTCTATAGTCTAGTCTATAGTCTAGTCTATAGTCTAGTCTATAGTCTAGTCTATAGTCTAGTCTAGAGTCTAGTCTATAGTCTAGTCTATAGTCTAGTCTATAGTCTAGTAGTCTAGTCTATAGTCTAGTCTATAGTCTAGTCTATAGTCTAGTCTATAGTCTTAGTCTATAGTCTAGTCTATAGTCTAGTCTATAGTCTAGTCTATAGTCTAGTCTATAGTCTAGTCTATAGTCTAGTCTATAGTCTAGTCTATAGTCTAGTCTATAGTCTAGTCTAGTCTATAGTCTAGTCTATAGTCTAGTCTATAGTCTAGTCTATAGTCTAGTCTATAGTCTAGTCTATAGTCTAGTCTATAGTCTAGTCTATAGTCTAGTCTATAGTCTAGTCTATAGTCTAGTCTATAGTCTAGTCTATAGTCTAGTCTATAGTCTAGTCTATAGTCTAGTCTATAGTCTAGTCTATAGTCTAGTCTATAGTCTAGTCTATAGTCTAGTCTATAGTCTAGTCTATAGTCTAGTCTATAGTCTAGTCTATAGTCTAGTATATAGTCTAGTCTATAGTCTAGTCTATAGTCTAGTCTATAGTCTAGTCTATAGTCTAGTCTATAGTCTAGTCTATAGTCTAGTCTATAGTCTAGTCTATAGTCTAGTCTATAGTCTAGTCTATAGTCTAGTCTATAGTCTAGTCTATAGTCTAGTTTATAGTCTAGTCTATAGTCTAGTCTATAGTCTAGTCCATAGTCTAGTCTAGTCTAGTATATAGTCTAAAGCCTAAAGCAAGTTCGATCTACTACAAAAATTTTAAATATTTTTTTATAACATTTATTAATTAATTTATGTATTTCTTTATTTACATATTTATTTTTTATTTATTTATTTATGTTACCAAAGTGACAAGGCTATGTTGTCAAACAGAACATTGCGTTTTCGAAATGACAACGATTAGTTGTCGAAATCGCAACGATATGACACAAAGCGTAATCGAAATGACAACAATCCGTTGTTGCGATGCGTTGTCAAAATAACAACTGTAGTTGTCAAAATGATAACTGGGTTTTATTTAAATTTTATACACATTCCTTGTCTTAATGTTAACAAACGTAGCATTTATTTATACGATCCTAGCTCAGATGCCAGAATGGCATCCACAGTGTTTTCCGACATTAACTGCGTTTCTAACCTTGTTCGTTCATTTTCAAATTTATGGCATACGAATATGACATGTTCTTCCTTTTCACCCAAACCTGGATAGACTGGACACTTCGGCGAGTCATCGTATCCAAAGCGTTCCAGGTAGATTATATATCCTCCATGTCCATTTAGAAACTGTGTGAAATGGTAATTAACTTCGCCTTAGGTGCAGTTTACCCATTTTTCTATATTTGAAATCAAATTGTAGACGAACTTCGTTATCTTTAAGGATTCACGATATAGTACATATACTCATATTTTATAGGATCGAAATTACAACGCTATGAAGATAAAGGGTAAAAGAATTTCGCCCATAAACTCTCATAAAAAGGCAGCTGTTTCTAAATTTAACTTAATTATCTAACAAATATATTCTCCTCCCTATAACTGATACAAATAAAGATATAAATAATAATTGCATTATTGAATTATTTAATATTTCCCCTTTAAACTCCTACACACTCATACATGATGGCGCTGATATTTGTTTATAGAAGAAAATTATGAAATGCGTCCACAGAATTTATTAACTAAATTTATATCTATTAAAGCAGGGATTTTATTTTTTTGTTATTTTAAATTAAATTATAAGTACTTTAAATTGATGAGAATGGACACTTTAAATTAATGAGAAATGATTTATTATACAGTGTATCTCGTATTCACATAATGATGCCAGACTTTAAATTTATAAAAATCGCTTATTTGATTGCAGTCATTAATTATTAGATTCAATAAGAGAATAGCCTTCAAATTAGACGTTATTACTCTCTCACTCTCTATTTTATACAGAAGCTATGATCTGTCAAAATTGTGTGTAGAAGAGCACGGATGAGATCGTCTAAACGCAATATTTAATGAAACCATTACACAGAGGGAAAAGGAAATACATATACACGCCTGGTACCAAATTGACACCAAAGAGTTTATAATTGTTTAAACATCCGTTGTCAAAGTATATACATACGTACGACAACACTATGTACTGTTGCTATGCAACGTTGTTCAGGGATGTATTTTTATTTAAACACATACAAGAAATGCGAAATAGCTGTTTTTGTTATTGTTTTATACCAATCGTGAAAACATAAAAGATATAAATCATACGACTTTTATTCTCTTTTTTGTCATACGGATGGAATTACATTTTACTTTTTCATTAAACTTTTGCAAATAAGTATTTTTCTAAGTGCATAAATAAAAAAACGCCTACAGTTTGATTAGTATGGCAGCTCCTAATAACATACAGATAAGGAGAGAATACAATTATTCCCTCTCTTATTTAGCTGCCACTGTTAAACATTCACACACAGTTACTTAAACTTAGTTTAACATCTCTAAAACAAGTCCTAGCAAAAGGATTAAAAAAAGTATTCACAATAAAACCGGAAAAATTACAAAACATTTCAAAATCGATATTCAATTTGAAGTTCAAATAAAAATCACAATTATAATTTTTCACTCTGCTCTCTCAAATGGTGAGCAAAAGTTATAAAAAAAAACATTTGAATAAAAAACCGAACACGACTAAACAACCACCAGCATCTTTAATGAAAAAACACCAGTCAGGCCCCAAACATAAACGAATATTTCAAGACTTTAGTCAGTCTCGTTTTGACGGTTTACGGTGGTGATCATTCATAGTTCTGGTTTAGATTTCAATAATCACAACGCTGTTTTATCGAAGACTTGTTTTTCGTTTTATATATTTTTTTCTTTATTTTTTTCATTTCATTTAAAATTTATTTTTTGTTTTTATACTACTGTGATTCATAAAGCACTTTGTGTTGTAAAAAAAGTGCAAAGACCATAAAATTAAAACAAAAATAAAAAAAAAACTACAACAAAATAACTGGTTTTTTATACAATTTTGAAAAAAGAAAAATACAAAAGTGCAGAAGAGTTTCAACAGCAACTGAAAGAAGAAGAAAAAAGAAGTGTCTAGAAGTGCGATTGAAAAATATTTTTATTAATTTTTTAAATATCTATTATAAAAAATTAATTTTAAAAGAAATATAAAAAAATAAATATTAAAAATTACAAGGTTTAATTGTGTTTAAAAAGTAATTGATGCAGCTCATGCTTTTTTTATAGTAAATTTAAATAGAAAATAATTTGTAAAATTTTTAAATTAATGAAAACTAACAACAGCAATAACAACATCATCATTACGATCAGTTAACTTGAACCAAAACCAATTTAATAATAATTACAATAAATTACACTGACAGTGAAGAGAGTACGAGATCGTGCAAGTGTATCTGTGTGTGTGTGTGTACGAACAAAACAAAAGAGAGTGTAAGTAAAAGTACTTAAGAGTAAATAAAATGTATCTAATACTTTTTTTGAAAAATGTGTTAATGAATTTTTGGTAAAAAGTACTTTTTGGCTTAAACGATGTGACAGCTTGTACTGAAGTAGTGAAAAACATTACATTTTATTGATCACACCTCGACAAAAATGAACATTAGAAAATGCATTTTTCCGAACATATTAATAATGCCGAATTTGATTATATTTTTGTAGAACCAAAGAGAAGTACGAAACAAATCAATCTTTCGGATATCTAACTTCTATAATTTCACTAGATCCTGCCGAAATTAACTATCCAAAATCGTCTAACCACATTTCTATATTCCTATATGGTTCACTATAGAACTAGCGATTGTACAAAACAAATCAATCTTACCTACTATCGAAATGGACTACCGAAATTCTTCTACCCATATCTCTTACAGGACTGAGTTGATAACCCTTAATTTACAGCTTTATACATGAAAGCGGAACTCCAACTAGTCAACATTACCCGGCAGATAGAATACCTCCACGACCATTAAGAGACGCCCTGCATTTAAAAATGATGGCAAATGTCGTACAGATATATAACTGTTACATAACATAACATAATTTATGGGCGTCATCTTATGAAATTCACTGCATTTCGAAAAAGATAAAAATGGTCGCCTATCCATTACATCAATGCTATGCTTATTCACGGAATTAAAATCATCTTAATGAACACAGCACTTGATAGTTTGCTCCGCAGTGAGCCTGAATTCATTATAAACAAAAGTTACAAGGATCACTGCGGCGATTCCAAAAGATTCCTTTCGCACTTTTTATGATATGGCGACATACATGCATATAATGCAATAACTTCATTTGATGCTGTTTGTTTTGATGTTTAAGACAACTCACAGATACTTCGCCATGTTCTAAAATAACTCACAGATACTTCGCCATGTTCGAAAGGTTGAATCTTGTGCTTTTCCAGAATTTTTACTAACATTACTCCTTCGACTAAGTAGGGTTAGTGCGGTTTCCACGCAATGACCAACAAATGTACCTTTCTCAAGGAACTGCCATTAAGTGATGACTGGCCTGCAAACACTGTCCTTTGGAACGTTACCTTAATGAACTTTAGATCATCTTGGTGTTATTGCTATCCCGGCGTATAGAAGTGCCCCAATACCTATAGTTTTTAGAAACTAGTGGGGTCATTTGACTTCTGGTCCATTCCTTGGAGTCATTTGATATGGAGTCGAACCAGAGAACAACATAATCTGGTACTACGGGGTCATCATAACTTTTCGGAATACGTTTCTGTCATCGTTCCTAGATTCTTGGAACGGTAAAAGCCACAATATAGGCTGTGGAATAATATATTGGAAATGAACTGATAATACAAAGATTGAATATTCGGATGTTGGTTTATGCCAAGTAGATGTTCCGTTAATCTTTTATATATACGTGATGTTCATCATAGTTGTATGTGTTCGGAGTTTAATCTAACCATGTTTGATTTCACACAGTAGGTCCTAATGGCAAAGGAATAAAAAAAGTCTTTATATGAAGTCCGAACTTCAGTCTAAAAATTACATCCCTAGGTGCTGTTACCGACTCCTTGTCAGAGTATGCATTAGGATCGGTCTCATTTACATCTGACATTCCGCAACGGGACTACTATGACAAAAGATTAGATAGTTCAAGTATTTAAGCAAAGTGTTTCTATATTAATCAACACAGTCACTTAGGGGTGATTAGTGGACCGTCTATAATCGACTCAGTGGATGCAAAAGCATTATTGGCATTCCTCTCCTATGGGATGATGCGATCGCAGTCTATAATGACGGTTTAAAAGCTGCTATGGTTTCTCGGGAAGATCCTAAATTTAGTTCTTTAGAATTTCCAATCTGTGTTTAAAGGGATAATATCTGGAATTACACAGATCCCAAGATATTTGGACCTAATTTATTTGGAAAGGAGTATGTATACAATATCAGATCCGAGAAAAGTATACCTAGACCGCTATCGGCACTATTGTGCGCTATAATGTTCAGAAATTCAGTTTCATGGAAGTTCTTGATGTTCTTGAGTGATATAATGAACATCACTCCCAAGATACATATACATACATACATATATTTCGATTCTAATTTCGACGCTCTACAATCGTCTGAATCCGTTCGTCCAATTTTGTATAATTGTGCCTGTAATCCTGGCTTTTCACTCAGAGTACGTACAGTCATACTTACCAGGACCCATTTTTGGGATGCTTCTCATCCTCCTCACCATAATTTAGCCGTTCCTTCGATTGGGATTTTTAGATTTTGGAAAGTTAATTTTATTACAAGTAAACGATGAAGTTAGACATGGAAATGGTACTTTTTGTTGCGCTGTAGCGCCAAAAATACTTGTTGATAAAAAGGTGAAATTAAACAAAAATAAGTAGAAATAAATATTTGTAAAACTTTGTGTAGGGTATTAAGATAGTGGTCATGAACAATTAGACTTTGTTTTCTTAACAAAGAATTAGATGAAAAAATATGCATTACATTCAGTGTCTTCAATTTAAAGATTATTTAATTTAAATGGACTTAAAAGAAAGATTTAAGAGAAAATAAAGAGTAAATTACCTTAACAAAATTTCTTTCTCTCTCTCTCTTATTGATTATTGTTTTGTGTATTTTCTTCATGTACTTACAATATTTTCCTAACTGCATTGTAGCTGTTGTTGTAATGACAGTGCCGATCGGTGCCAGTTTTGCCAGTCAGGCAACCAGCAAACCATACCGTCAGCCCAGCTCTAGCTTGCCAATCAAGTTTTTCTTTATTATTATTATTTTTGTATTTGTTGATATTTCATTTGTAATATGTTTGTATACTGTTGGTGTTGTTGTTGTTCCTTTTTTGTATTAATATCAAAGCTAAGCTTTTGTTTAAGTCTCTACTAGTTAGCAGCTGTTCGTCATCAAAGTACGTCGCGACGCCGTCGTTTGTTGATCGAAAAAAACAAGTATTGGAGAATAAAACAAAAAAGAAAAATTGGAAAAAAACACACACTCATAAGTTGTTGTTTTTAATGGTGTTTTTTTTTTGAGTAGACTCCACCACGAACGAATGAACGAACCAAGCAACAACCCATCCAACCAGTCAGCCTGTTGGTTAGTCAGCCAGTGATTTAGTACTCTTTGTATGTTTGGGACCGCGAATACAACAATCGTTGTTTGTTTTTTCTTGTTTTCAATATTTTGGATTTTATAAGCCGTTGTTTTTTCTCGATTTTGCCGATTTTAGCTATTGTTTTTTGCAGTGTTTTTTTTGTGTGTTTTAAATAAATAATTATACAAAGCAAATGTTTAAATAATTAAAAAAACTATTTTTGTTTTTGATATAAAATTTAACAACGAATTTCTTAATCGAAAAAAGAGTAGAGAAAAAGTTTTTATAAAAAAACCATATAGTGTTTCAGTGTATAATTAATTGTGCTAAATATCATATGATTTGTTAAATAAACCAACAACAACAACAAAAACTCAACACAAAAAATATATAATACATATTCAACAAATATTGGCTTAAACAACATTTTTAATTTGGCTTACATACACGGCTATAGTAGAGTGTTTTAAACAACAACAAAAACAGTAACGTCATTATACAACTCGTCGGAAAAACGTAAGTTAAATACACTCATACTTGTTTGCCATCCGCCCGTCCGTCCGTCCGTCCGACAACCATACATCCATCCATCCATCAACTTACCATTTTTGTATTTCGTGTGAAAATATTCAGTTTTAAAAATAGAAACATTTCAAAATTTATTGTGATCAACTTGGAAAATGGTGCACATTTTACCAACAATTCGCAATGAATTTAATAACAAGAGTTAGTTGCTTTTTTAGTGGTGTATTTGTTGCATGTGACTCGGTTACTCGTTTTATGTGGTAATAATACAATGTAATGGAATGTCTAAAAATGTTTAGACTACATTCTCATTAGAGGAGAATGCATGTACTAAGTGAGCTACATACATGCAATGTACATTAGAGCCATGGTTCCCAAATGATTAACAAAATATTTCTCAGTGCTAGGTTCTGTCGCATCTTATGAAGTTTAATTTCTACTTCTCCTTACCTTTCTTTGACTTACAGTATCAGTAGAAGAATTGGAAATGATCAACTATATGTAATTTTGAACAACATTTCGCTTTCATAGGATACCGGCAAATCAGACAATCTAATAGAAATTTTACGTTCGATTTTGGCCAGAAGTTCTTCTAAAATTAGATGTTGTTGGTATAGACCAGCTATTTAACATAACCTATAAATTGATAATAAATTTCAATAATATGCAAACTTTCTTAAAGCGTCCATGCTATAAAGTGATGGACAGACTTTTCAAATTGTTAAATAATTGCGTATCCAATTTCACTCCTATTGAAGAAATGTCAAACGCAAAATACATCGTTTCATCTTAGCAATTGTTGTTGTAATAGTTTAAATTAAACAATTTTAATCCGGGGGTTCTGCATTAAGATCCAAGCCATGAAATTAAGCTACTTCTACTGGATTGGTGAAGTAGGATTGGATTGAAGATGTGGAGGATATTATGGGGACCCTGACCACATGCTGGGCATAAGTATATTAGATTGCCAGATCAACTTTTCATGGCGTCGCCATGAATTACGTTCAAAGCTTCAGTATGCCAATTACGATTCTTGCACATAACTTCGCATGCTCTCCTCGTATACATGAAGGTTTACCTCCATCGTCCAGGTGGTGAAAAGTGTTGCTGTAGACTTCGCTGGGGATAATTTTAGTTTACATCCACTAGATCGCATAGCATAGGACACTGCCCTTTGGTAGTACTTACCAGTTCTCCACTATAGTTGGGTGAATCATTTAACCCTTTTGGTTTTCGTAATGATAGTGTAAAATCATCTGTTGTCCATGATTATTCGCGGATTAAACATCTCCTGTCTTAAGTCACCAAAAGCTAGACAATTACATAGAATT